TGTTGGTATTATTTTGGATGGCAACTTGGTAAGGCCAGGGTTACCAATGTCTCTCCCTTTAACCCAGCAAACCCACTTCTAGTAATGTATTTTACAAATTATAGGAGCACCCACGCAAAATTTTATACATACAAGGTTATTCACAGCAGCACTATTTATAAAAGCAAAATGACCCAAAATATCCAATACAATGTCCCTCAGTGAGGGGCCAACTCATAGAGTGGAACACTGCTCAGCATCATCCCCTCAAAATGGAGGAAACTCTCCATATAAATACTGACACTAGCAGTCTGAGTGCAGAAGAGCATATATACATCTACCATTGTTATGAAAAGTCAGGGAAAGGATATTTGCTTGCATATGCACAAAAATCTCTCTGAAAGGATGAATAAGAAAATGGTAACACTATTGTCTCTGGGGAGGGGGCGGGGCAGATGGAAGGGAGAGTTTTTACTGTAAACCATGTTATGCCTTTGTGATTTTGAATAAGAGATGGAGTAGGAAAAGAACTTCGAAAAGCTAAAGATCAAGGTCAAAGTCTAAGAAAACATGCATCCAATTTTAAGCATGTCTTTGACTCAGCAATTTTTAACTCTAGAAAATGACCCCAAAGGAATAATTTAGGAATAATAATAAAGGATAAGAGTTAGGAGAGTCTAAGTGGCAATGTGGTTTTTAACTTCAGGTTTTAAAAGCAACCTGAAGTGTCCAAAAACCTAGACCGAGTGACCAAGTGCTCCTACAGCAGAGCACTCCGCAGTCAGCAAAGTGAAGCTGATTCTGACAGTGGGTGAAAAAATGTAGGTTATGAAACAATATATGGCCTGATTTGAATTTTTCATTTCATACACACACATAGAAAACTGAAAACATAAGGAAACCATCTAGGTACCTCCTAGCATTAGGATTACAGGTGAGGGCACATTGACTCTTGACTGTAATCCTAGACCCAGGAGGCCAAGTAAGGAGGACTGCTTGGGCCCAGGAGTTCAAGTCCAACCTGGGCAACATAGTGAGACCCCATCTCTAAAAACAAAAACAAGGCTAGGTGCCTGTAGCTCAGTGGCTAGGGTACCAGCCACATACACTGAGGCTAATGGGTTCAAACCCAGCCTGGGCCTGCCAAACAACAATGACAACTACAACAAAAAAATAGCTGGGCATTGTAGTGGGCACCTGTAGTCCCAGCTGCTTGGGAGGCTGAGGCAAGAGAATCACCCAAACCCAAGAGTTTGAGGTTGCTATGAGTTGTGACGCAACGGCACACTCTTATCGAGGGCAACATAGTGAGATTCTGTCTCCAAAAAAATAATAATAATAAAATAAATAAATAAATGAAATAAATAAAATAAAAACAAAAACAAAACCTCCAAACATTATTAGGCACCCCATAAATATATACAAATATTATGTCAATTTAAAAAATAAAATTAAAAAAAATTATGGGTGAATTGTTGGCTTTCTTAACATATGTATACACTGAACATGTCCTCATATGTGATGGGGTGAGACAAGAACAAGCAGTTTGTAGGAGGAGGTGCAGAGAGGAGCCTCAGTTCCCACCTTGCTCTGGGGGACAGGTTAGGAAAGGTATGTCCTGTGGCTACATCTGCTTCCCCTTTATTCAGGCTTGGTATTATCTGCCCCAAGATAGCTGGGAGAGTGGCCGGCCTCGAGATATGTGTGTCTGAGTGGGGTGTGTGTGTGTTTGCATGTGTGTCTGAGTGGTGTGTGTGTATATGAGAGGCTTGTGTGTCTCTGAGTGTTGTGTGTGTCTGAGTGTGTGTATGACTAGTATACATGAGTGGTGTGTGTGTATGAGTAGTGTGTGTGTCTGAGTGGTGTGTGTGTTTTAGCAGTGTATGTATGTATACGAGTGGTTTGTGTGTCTGAGTGGTGCGTGTATGACTGGTGTGTGTGTGTACATGAGTCGGGGGTGTGTGTGTGTAGGAGGGGCGCGTGTGTGTGCATATGTGTGTGTGTGTGTTCCTGTCCTGGGGACTGGGTGTCATGGTGGTCCAGCCAGTTCCCTGTCTTGGGCTTACCTTGAAGATAGTGTTGTCTCCATCTTGGCTGGGCCCATGCCTGGTAGCATGCCTCCAGGGGATGTAGAAGAATTTCTTTTCCCCATTGACCCACTGAAGTCCTGGGTACTGGCCGCTGTTCACCTGGGCTACCAGCCAGGGCTTAAGCCGCACACGGCGGGGCGGGGCAGAAGCCCCAGGGGTGGGCTGGTTCATGGCAAGGGGGTCTGCAGAGAAAAAGCAAGAGGGCCTCAATGGCTGTGTGGCCCCAGGGGGCCAAGTTCAGACTCTGAGGGAAAGTCTCTCCATTCCATCCAGGTGTTCCAGGCCGATTCTCTTTTCCAACATGGGCCTTCCTGTCATGGGGTGACTGAATCTTGTATTTGAGAAGAAGGGAAAGTGCTGAATTATGCCACAGTGACCACTGTGTGCACCTCCCACGTGCCCTTGCCAGACAGGGGCATCCATTCTCCATGGCTAACAGCACTGAGCACTGGACAACTGCCCCCAGCTGCTCCCTCGACACGTGTGGGAGTGGCAGCCCACAGCCAGTGCCTGTCTGACACCTGGGGACAAAGCCTGGCTCCTTTGCCTGGCAGGCCACTAGGTGCAACATATGCTCTGTGGGACAGGCTGTAGCTGGCCTCCCATGAGTCCGCATCCCGATTTTGTTTTCTCTGTCCTGATTTTCTCACATCCATCCACTAAGAGACCCTCCAGAAATGCCTTCAACAACAATCCCATCTTAGGCGTCCAGGAAACTTGGCCTTAGACAAAACAGAGCAGGTGAAAGGAGGTGGGTTTCTATGCCGATTTCTCAGAACTTCCTGTCTTCCTCTCTTTCCTCCGGGGAGAAAGCTTTGGGCAGCCTCGACATTTTCCCAGCCTACATCCAGCAAGGACAGAGCCCCCCAAACTTAGATGTTACCCCTGTAGGGCCATCATTTCCTAGATTCTGGTCCTACCCCTTGTCCTCCCACTGGACATACATTCATGAAGCTCTTGAAGGGCCTTAACATTTGCCAGGGCCTACACTGCACACAGCCGTAGGAAATACAGAGGCTGCATCTAACCACTACCTAGGCTAGAGCCCCACCTCCTCCAGGCCACAATGGCTGCCTTACTGGAGTCAGTCTGCCTCGGAGCCCCTTCCTCTACCCTTCCACCTGCCAAACTCCCTTGCCAGCCCAGAACTAAAACCTCCCCGAAGTCCCTGTCTCATTCCTCCCCTTGCTCAAGCCTATGGCTTGTGAGAGTCCAGGGTCAACGACGGAAAGGACTAAGCCATCACAGTGCACAGGCCTCACAGGGGAATTTGTCACTCAGCAAGTAAAGGGTTGAGTTAAACGCTTCTGTCTTTCCAGGCTTGTTTGGGCCTTACAGCAGGGAGCCTTAGTTTCCCCGAAATTCCCTGCCTAGTACCTGTTGCATCTGTCTAGTGCCACCTCTGCATTGCTAGAGTCTCCCTCTGCAGGCCACTCTCAGCAGTGCCCACCTCAGAGGCCTGGGCCCAGGAAGAGTAAGGCCAGCCCCTGCCTGGTCCAGAGGCTGGGACAGGAGAGGTGGAAAGCTTCAGCTCTGCCCCTGGCCTTGGCCTCGGAAGCCTGGGGGCTCAGTTCCTCTTTCTAGCTTAGCCTCCGCCCAGCCCTAGGGGAAATGAAAGTGGCCAGACCAGGACAACTCAGAAACCTGACTCACTGGGAGTGAGTGAGGGAGAGGACATAAGAGAAAATTCATAAGTGAGTACCCCAAGACCAAATTTTCAATCTCCTGCCCATCACCATTCCTGATCCCTGAGCCTACTGGCAGTCATCGTGCTATCAGTGTGGTTGGCAACATCGGGTAGCCTCGCCCACCCGTGTTTGTGTTTAGAGCCCTCTGACAAGACTGTCCTAGAATAGAGGGATGCTGGTCACCAGTGCCAGACAGGAGGAAGCTCTGTCCACGAGGGGCTGCGGGTGAGCTTTTCTGATGACCTAAATACACATGGTGGGGCTGCAGCTGGGCTGGGGTGGTACAGAGGGGAGATCAGAAAGGCCCTCTACCCTCTGCTGCCTAGGACAAGGAGGAGTTGGGGGAGTCCCACCATCTGGCCCAAGACTGCTGTGTAATACAGAGCAAATATTTGTTTTGATATTTATTTATTTACAGAGTCTTGCTCTGTTGCCCAGACTGGAGTGCAGTGGTATAATCACAACTCACTGCAGCTCTGATCTATTAGGAAGGGGAGAAGGGGCTTCCACAACAAGCCCAGCCAGGGCTTGGACCCAGATGTCTACCAGGCCACAGAAGGGTCTCTGCCTCAAGGGGTTTTGCCTGGAGCCAGGTCCATTAGGGCCCTACCTTAAAAAAGCATCCATCTCCCTAGAAGTTTCCTTCTGCCCAGAAAATGGTTTAGATCTGATTAAGACCATCTCAATGGCTTGAGTTCTGAATTTCAGTGTCTGAACAGGTCTGCCTTCTTGGGGGTGTAGGGGCTTGGGGTGAAATGTAGGCAGTGCAGACACAGGTTTACAGACTTGAGCTCTGGAAAGTGGGAAAAACCAAGTCCTCCAACAATTTCCTCTGAGTGTCAAAAGAGATGTGGACTGCTGAGGACCTAAGGAAGCTGCCACAAGCTGCCCAGCAAAGAGGCAGCCAGAAGTGCGGCCCTGGACCCCCTGCTGGTGTTGGGGGAGCCCAGGGATCACCCATGGCCCTGCTGAGGTCCCAGGAGATAGTCCCCTGAGGAGCCATAACCCTGTGACCCTGGGGCACTGCTTGGGGAGGAAGCCCTACAGCAGGGCTGAGCACCTCCAGGTCCTCTGGTTCACATCATCTCCCTGCATGCCCCACTCCAGCTCAGGGAGAGGGCAAGGGGTTCCCCGCACCAGGTGACCCTAAATTCTCCCCTTACTGATCACACCCTGTGCCCTGTTCCCTCCGAGTCCAGACAGGCTGAGGTTCTGGGGCAGCAGGTGTGGCAGCAAGAAGCTTCTGGCCTTCCTCCCAGGCTCAGGGTGGGGAAAGGCCAGGGGTACAGGGGGAAATCCCCAAAGTAGGGCCTTTAGGTTAGGGAGGTGCTTTCCAGCGCTTCCTAACTCTTGCCAGGAGCCCCCTCCTCCGTACCCCAATACCCAAGCCCTTCAGCCAAGGGGAGGGATGAACTCTGCCTCTGGCCCAGCCCCTCCTGAGGGCAGCCAGTTTCCTCCTTCGGCCCCGCCCGCGTCCTTTCTGGTCCTGGTCACTGATCCCAGTTCTGGCCCCTCCCGCCGGCTCGCCCCTGGTTCAAGCCCCTGCCTTCTGGGCGAGCCCACGTTGCCACCCCTTAGCTCTGGCTCGCAGTCTGCCTCTGGTCTTGCTCCTCCCTTGTGGCGGCCCCGCTGCCCCGCTCTGTTGTGTCCATTGTGGCAGCGGAGGCCAGGAAAGTCCCCCACTCACGTCTCCCTCCGGGCACTGCTCTCGTCCTTCTCTGGGTCCTGGAGACAACCACGCAGCAGGCTGCGCAGGTCCTCGCTGCTGTCTCCTCCCCCGCATCGTGGCGTGGCCACACTAATCTCACTTTTCCTCCACTTTTTGACTTTTCATTGTTTCATTCTTAAGCAGGACCTAAAGAAACTAGCCCAAGGAGTTTGTGACCCGATACGGCACTGCTAGGAAGGCCTTCGTGTAGGGTTCTGGGCCGTGCATAAGTCAAAGACGGAGATCCTGCCTGACACCATCTTCCCACTAATTCCTGCCCATTGGCTCTAAGATCCTAGGAGGATGAACACTTTAAACCTCTTCTTACCTGAAAGGGTGAGGGTGGCTGGGGAAGAGGGGGCGGGAGAATACCGAATGCAGGGATGGGGCCTCGCCTCTGGGTGGCCCAAACCAGACTCCGCGGTCGCTCCCCATCCTCAAGCTCAAATGCCAGGCAGAGTGGACACGGACCCCGCCCTAACTCCAGTCTCCTGTCAGCCATCAGCAGGTGCCCCGCGGGCGCGCGCCAGGGTCTAGGTCCCGGAGGGGGATTGGCAGTACCCAGGCACAGTTCCCCACAGAGGAGCGCGAGGCGGCCGAGACCTACCTGTCCGCGGAGCGCCCGCGTGGCTGCGCCCGGGAGCTCGGGCTGGGCTGCGAGGCCGAGCTGCGCTCTCTCCCAGCTGCGCCTCCCGCCGGTCCGCCAGCCGTCCGGCACTTCCGCATCTCGCCACCCCCGCCCCTGGGCCTCGGCTGCGGAGCTCCGTGCGCTGGCAGCGCCCCGCCCTGAGATCCACCCCGGGGCCCCAGCACTGACCTGGCGACCGCAGACCCGGGCTCAGTATATAGCACCAGGCCCAGGGCCTCAGGGAGACGCCAGACAGCGCGGTGGACAGAACAGAACACTGGGCTCTTTCAGCAATAGAACAGCAAAACAGTCATTCAACAGCCCCCCAGATTCCCACTGCAGTGCTGGGTGGGGCCAGGGGTCCCCCCAGCTCTGCGCCCCCCACCCCAGGAGCTTAAGATTGGCTGCCCACAAGCTATCAACGAAACCGCGCAGGAGGGCGCAGGTGGCTGATCGCCCCAGGCCATCCTCAAGCCTGCCTGCATCCCTTCCAACGGTGGCCCCAGCCCTGGCTCCCAGGCTCCTGAACTAGGAACCAGACACCCCTTTCTCGACGTGCTTGCAGGATAGGACCCTTGGACCACTTTGTACCTCTCTCATCCTCAACCCCTGCACCTGTTTCCACCCCAGCCGCCCTCTAGGGTCGCCTACCTCACCTCTTCTCTCCTTCGCTGCTACCTTGACTGTCCACCTGTTGTGAACTGTTTTTATGTCCGTAAAAGGGACTTGCTTGCAGGCCTCCACCGTCACATGTCTTGTTCCTTCTGGAAGATTCTTGCTTGGGAACTCCTGCTCTGCAGATTTTCTATATCCGCATGGCCTTCCCTGGAAAGTCTGTCTTGACTTCTCCTCCTAGGAGGAATGGTATCTTTGTGACAATAATGTCTGATTTCCACTGGGATCAGCTTACTCAGAGACACCTCCTATCTTTTCACAGTTCCTTTCTTATGGTAATTTTTAACTAAAAAATTTTTAAATAAAGAAAATCTCCAAGATAATGTTTAGTTTTAGATAGCAAATGAAACGTACAAGTTGTAGATAGCACTATTTGCCCTTCAAAGTTTAGAGCCTTGTATTTTTAACAAATACAGTAGTATTAGCTGATGAATCAGAACTTTGACCTCCCCCTCCCTCCTCTGGGTTGATCTTTACCTTTAATGAGTGAAAAGACACTCACGTGTTGTCTTTTTTCATCTCTTCTGTATCTCCCCCTCTTTTCCTTCTTATGTAGCCTACATATCATTACATGTAAGTATTTTATATTTTTTACCTGCTTAGTATTTTTTTTTTTTTTTGAGACAGTGGCTCAAGCTGTCCCCCTGGGTAGAGTGCTGTGGCATAGCTCACAGCAACCTCCAACTCCTGGGCTCAAGCGAGTCTCCTGCCTCCGCCTCCCAAGTTGCTGGGACCACACGCGCCGGCTACAACGCCTGGCGGTTGTAGCCATCATTGTTGTTTGGTGGCTGGGCTGGATTCGAACCCGGCACCTTAGGTGTATGTGGCTGCCGCCTTAGCCACTTGAGCCACAGGCGCTGAGCCACCTGCTGAGTATTTTACTACACATTTCAAAAATTTAAAGTATGGGTGGGGAAAATGTGGATGGGTAGATTGTTTTATATTTCTTTCTTTAAAAATGAAATTGCTATTTAATTGAATGTAGCCTTCCACAAAATGGGAACCTTTTCCCCTGGAGGTCAGTATGTTTAATAGAAAAATATACTATGTTGATCCAGAAAATATGATGGGAGCAATAGCCAAGAAGAGCTTTCTTTTTTTGTCAAATGCTCCCACTCACTCTGAGGGACTGTCTACCTTGTTCAAGTGATGCTCTGCCTGTAGAGTCTCTGAACTTCTGGAATCAGCAGGGTCTCCCCATGTGCAGAAGCAGGGGCACCAAATGAGCTCGTACCAGCTCTGCTGCCTTCGAGTTAAGCAACCTCATATAGGTCTGTGAACCTTATTCCCTCATCTGAGCCTAAAGATCAGATCTGAGCCTGATGTTACCAGGCTCCCAGCATTGGTGTTGGGCTCCAGGGATAGGGGCTATGCAGAGCTCAGCTTGGCTCTGGTCCTGCCTCTCTTGACCTGGAGAACTTGAACCAAGAACCACCTTGGGCCAAATACAGTACAGGGAGGGAGGGCAGGCAGTACTCCCAGGCAGAGAGCACAGCCCCTCTGGCTCTTCTAGATCCAGGGGTCCCCTGGCCTCCCGGTGCTGCCTTGTGGGTGGGAGTACAGTAAAGGGGAAGTGAGGCTACATGTGAGACCTGTGTGCTCACTCCCAGTTCCCCCGATGGGTTCGGGGCCTGTGGAGGGGAGGGAGGCTTGGCCCCCACAGCTCCAGGAACCTCAACAGTAAAGTGCCCAGGTCTCCCACTTGCCATGGTGATATGGTCCCCAGCTGGCACTTCTCCTGGCTGCAGCATCTTCCTTGGTTTGGGTAGAAGCCAGTGTGTGAGTTTGAGTAGAGCACTGTTGGGTGGGGTAGTGGGCAAGCCATGTCACCAAAGGGAACTGAAAGAAACCTTATGTGAATGAGAGGAAGGAGGACAGAGGCCTTAGGGGTAGCTGGATGGTACAAGCCCCCTTCCAACTCTGGGCCAGCCCCTTCATTGCAGACTTGGGTTCCCCTTCAGGAGACCCACCCTCTCAGTGCTGGGCTCTCAGGGTTTCAAGGCCGGCCTATTTCTCAGATACCCTGAGTTTCTGAGAACTTGTTGGCTGGACACTAGGCTCTGAGATCAGCAGGGCTGAGACAAATCCTAGCTGTCCCACTTGGGAATTGTGTGTACTTGAGTGAACCTTTACCCCCATTTCCTGTGTGCAGGCAAGGTAACATTGGTGCAAAGGGTCCGCTGTGTGTTCTAGATTCAACAAGTGCTTATCGAAGGCCTTGAACCTGTCAGGACAAAGTGGTGAACAATTCCTACTTTGTCTAAAAACCTCTGCCCAGGACATTCTATTCTTTGGAGTGAGATAGGCAATAAATCCTTACATAACAAAATTGGCTGAGGCCTTCTGGGCCATCTCCTGGCTCCTCTGGAAAGTCCTCATTGCAGTTTCTGAGGCAGGGAAGCCGTAGCTGCATAAGGAATGATGCCCAGGATGCCACCATGGGGCTTCGTCCCTGTTTCTTACTAAATTCTGCCTCCTCAGAGGTTTCTGGGTCATGACTTGGAAGTCCCCCACTTGGCCAACATTGGACACCTCAGGCATCCCCATCTTCCCTGATTTACAGCTCAGTCTCTCTTTATGGCCTGAGGATAAGGAAGCTTCCAGGGATACCCTCCTCCCTGGAGCTGACCCAAAGAACAATCCCCACACCCCTTTTACTGACTGGCCACCTCTCCTCTCCCTGCTGCCCTGCAGCCTGGCTCCTGCCCCACTCTGTGGGCTCAGTCCTAGCTTTACCTCCTCCTCTGGGCCTCAGACCCACAACCCAAGTGAGGCTTGCAGCCCTCAAGAATACTCCCAGACCTCCATCTCTGGTGACCTCCTATACCTCTCTGTGATACCTCAGAGGGTTCACTATTGCCTGGATTTCTCACCATCTCCTCTCAATATGTGCATAGATGACTTCTCACCTTGCCCTGGTACTCCTTCTAGCTCAGCTACCTGAGCCTGGTTAACATTCTCCTGGATCCCATTCAGGACACTGCCCCAAATATCCCCCTCCCCCACTGGCTACACTTGGCCTCATTCAAGCACTCCTAAACCTACTTGTCTCAGCATTACACTCAAACCACTTCCCTCTTGGCTCCTGGGCTCTGTCACGAAAGGGATGGGGGCCCCCATCCTTCCTGCCTGTCTCACCACGGAGCACCAGACACCTGGGCGAGGGGGGAAGGAGGAGGAGGAAGCCTAGCAGGAAGGTCCAGTCTTCCATCCCTGCAGTGGGGACAGGTGCCAGCCTAGCCCTATAGGAATTAGTTAAGGACCCCCAGTGTCCCCTGTTGTCCTATGATGAACTTGGTTGAAGTTCCAAGTCCTTGGGTGTCCCATCCAGGCACACAAGGCCCACTCATCTTTGATGTGGCTGCAGGGGGCCCAGGCCTCTGGCTCTGAAGTGCTCATGAGTTCAATCTGTCTCAAGCCCCACAGCTTAGAACCAAGGCTATGGACGCTCCTTAGTACAGGACTGTGGTCCCTCTGAGGTGGCTCTAAGTGGGAAAGGAGGAGAGACTCAATTCTATCTGGGATGGCAGCGCCAGCCCCAAGGCACGGGGCCTCTCCTCAGCCCACATTTGGGTCTCAGAGGGGTGGGGCAATGAGAGAATGTCCTTGGACGGACTCCTCCAGGGATGGCCCTGAGACTCTTGGCTGTAGCTGTGAGATTATGGGAGGGGTGAGGGACATGACATTCCTCCCATATGGCCTCTGCATACTTAACCTTGAGAGCAGATGTTACACTATCCCTCTCAGGGCTCTTGTGGGCTGAGCATTTCATGTGTGTTGTGGGGAGGAGAGGGAGCCCATGGGGGCTAGTAGCCAAACAGAGCTGAGGGGACAGGTGTTCTGCTCTGGTCAGCTGGTCGCCCATTAGCCTATACTATGATGGGGGTCAGGTCTTGGGGGCTCTGGGTGGGGCATCCCCCAGACCTCTCCTGTTCTTTTAGCCTCTGATGATGGGGCAGAAAATCAAGAAAGCAGAGAGCGCTGGCAGCCAAAGTACCCTGGGGAGGCCCATGGGTCAGGGCCCTCCTAGGGAAGAAGAGGTATCAGGCCTCCCTAGAGGGGTTCTGGGGCTGGGTTCTTACCGGGCCAGTGTCCTAGAATCTTGTTGTGTAAGCAGTTCTCCAAGCCAGGCACCAGCTAGCTGCAGCCCGGATGCCCACCCAGGCGGAGACCATGTGGTTGTTAGCAATCTGTTCCAGTCTTGCAGGCCAGACCCCTCTTTCTCTCAGCCTATCATTCTCCTCTCTTCCAGGAAGCACTTCCAAAGCCTCAGGGATACTGACATACCATGACAGCTTGTCTGGGGATCCTTGTTGGGGAGTGGAGGTATGTTGGGGGGAAGATGGGAAGAAGAAAGGGGTACCTGCTCAGGCAAGAAGGAGCTTATACGGGTTTCTTCACTGGCCCCAGCTCTCAGGAGACTTTGCTTTGCAGTAGCAGGCCATAGGAGTACCCAAGGGGACAGCGAGTCTGGGCATGCTGGCCCCCACCTGGAACTCAGCTAGAGAACAGTTGTGTGCAATGCAGTGTCTTCACCATGGATCTGGGATTGGGGGTCAGGGAAGAGAGAGTAGGGAGGCGAAGCCCCTTTGCAGATGAACAGCTCATCTTAAGTCATGGAGAAGTGGGGTGGGGGTTATCCTCCTCTGGGACTGATGATGAAAGGAGCAAGTGCAACAAGATAGTGCTAATGAGACCTTGTTAAATGCCAGGTTCCGTTAAGCACTTTGCATACATTACAGCCAGCCACTAGCAGCCCCACTTACACACAAGTGAGCCGAGTAACTAAGTTACTCAGCTTACTACTTTGTATTCTCAGTGTTATCTTTGGTGTTCCTTGGCTTGTAGAAACATCTCCCAGATCTCTGCCTTCACCTTCAAATGGCTTATCCCTGTGTGCACGTGTCCAAATTTCCTCTTTTTTTTTTTTGAGACAGAATCTCACTATGTTGCCCTGGGTAGAGAGCCGTGGTGTCAACAGCTCATAGCAACCTCAAACTCTTGGGCTTAAGTGATTCTCTTCCTCAACCTCCCAAGTATCTGGGACTACAGGCGCCCACCACAGCACCTGGCTAATTTTTGGTTGTAGTTGTCATTGTTGTTTGGCAGGCCTGGCCTGGATTTGAACCCACCAGCTCTAGTGTATGTGGCTGGCGCTCTTGCCACTGAGCTACAGGCGCCAA